TACTGTTTTGTAATTGAATTGAATATTGAATTGAATATAATTCTTACATTCAATACTAAATAGTAATATATCAAACAATCTAATTTTTGTACAATCGGTATTTCAGAACATGATACAGAAATTTCATAAGGTTGTAAATCTATTTTATACCTCCTTTATGTTTGAGTGTATAAGAATGGATTGGTATAGTTGGTAACGCAAGCAGATCTTGATTCAATCATATTCGGTCAAGTGGTGAAAAAAACAGAAGGGAAAGTGAGAGGTTCGCATGTGTTATTCAACGTTAGAGTAGGTGTCAAACGTAATTTCGATTTCGGGAATACACGTCTGTAAAGAGAAAGCAACTATCTAAAATGCAGTAAGTTTTAAGTGATTTCTCGGTGAATCATTATAAATGCGTAGCTAACTCATGACATTTCATCATATAGATATCATTTTCAATTTTGCAATATATTTTATCCTATACAATATAATTTTTTAATTTTGTAATTTTATTATTAATTTAGCAGATGTAATCATGCTAAATTAACTACTACCCACACATACATTCTCACACTCAGTTACGAACGCTTGTTTGCATACTGTTTTGTTTTCGTTTTAGTTGTATTATATATATGTACAGCTGTTATAGCGCTGTATGATACATTGATTTGGCGCGTTTAAATGTCTTATAAATTGTTCTTCTAAATATACGTATTTCAAGTATACTGAACCTTGAAATCTCTATGAATGTATTAATTTAAAATAAAAACGAGAAAAGATATTTATTTCATAATTTACTTAATTTAATAATATAAATATTATTTATGGGAATAATATAATTTTTCAAATAAAATAAATATGATATAAGAAAATAAATATTTAATATGATTATTTTTTTTAATGTTTATTCTATTATAAAAATCTTGTCTAAATATATTCTAATTTTATATTATTCTATCTTATATCTCAATAATATTTCTCTTGATGCAATATAAAACTTAAAATTTTCAAAATAAAATTTTGTAAATAATTAAAATAATTAATTCTGGATTTTATAAATTTATTTAAAAATTTTAAATATTACTCTCATATTTTTTATTGTTTTAATATTAAAATAATTTTTGTTATATTAATATTAATCTAAGAATAATATAATATAATATATATATGGATATTGATTGCTGTAATATTATACTTTATATATATGATACATATGATTATACTTTATATATATAATACATATGATTTAAGATATTTATATATGATGCAATGTCATATGATGCAACTTATAATTTATGAAGTAATAATGAACTAGATTTTATTTAAGATTATTGGTCACAATAGCAAAAGAATTTTATGATCATTAATAATTTAAATTTTAATTTATTGATTAAATAATAAATTATTAATAATTTTAATTCCTTAATATTGAATAAAAATCATTGAAATTTATTAAACTGTTTTGACATAAATTTTATTGTCTCTCATCTCTTGCAGATATGGAGTCATTTTTCGAATTGTTTGATCCAGATAACGATAAGAATACTCGGAAAAATATTTGGAATAACTCAGAAAATGAAATAAATCGAATATCAGATTGTGAAAATTTAAGTAGTGATGATGATCAAGAGGAAAGGCTACCACCAGAACCTGAACAGGGTAATATTGAATATAAACTAAAACTCATAAATCCATCTAGTCAACGATTTGAACATCTTGTAACACAAATGAAATGGCGTCTTAGAGAAGGTCATGGAGAAGCTATATATCAAATTGGTATAAAGTTATTTTGATTTTTAATTAATTAATTAAATATCTTCTATCTAATTATTAGTTATTATATTTTAATTATTTAATTCATATTATTAGGTGTTGAAGATAATGGAAAATTAACAGGTTTAACAAAAGAAGATATGAAGGCATCATTGAAAACTTTAAATGATATGGCAGCTAGATTAGGTGCTACAACACGTATACTACGTCAAAGACTTGCCAATTCTAAAAATAAAAATATGTCCACATGCAGTAACAACAAAGATGAAAGACAGATAGCAGAAGTTTTAGTAAAAAATTAAGAAAAGGAGATAGGGAAGATCAAGATAGTATTGTTGATTTGAGACTTGCTGTTACTGGTGCACAGGATGCTGGAAAATCAACTCTCTTAGGTGAGAGGATTAGCAGAGGACATTTAAGGTAGAGAAATATACTTAGAATTTACTCTGCTAAATTCATTGTTTGTTTAGTTAATAAAATTTTAAATGAAACATAAATTTTAATATCCAAAAAATGTATATAGGTGTATTAACCCAGGGTGAATTAGATAATGGTAGAGGAAGAGCAAGGCTAAATATGTTGCGTCACCTTCATGAGATAAAAACAGGCCGTACATCATCAATATCACATGAAATTATAGGATTTGATAATGAAGGACACGTTTTAAATTACGCAGAAATGGCAACAGCAGAAGAAATATGCGAGCATGCGTCGAAAGTTGTTACATTTATAGATTTAGCTGGTCATCGCAAATATTTAAGAACAACGGTACTCGGTCTTACAGGTATAGTAATTCGGATTATTTCAATAATTTGTTTAGTTTAAGCTAATAAAATAGTGATTGATTTTCTTTTCAGGATATTCACCTCATCATGTAATGTTAGTTGTAGCACCACCTATGAATGAAGCGTCGCAAGAACATATGGCATTATGCCTTACATTGAGACTTCCATTTTTTATAGTTGTAAACAAGATTGACCTTGGTTTTTGTAGTACACCCGAAACGATAAATCAGTTAGAGAATGCTATTAACGCACAAGGATATTCAAAGCAATTAATAATGTATAATAATAGTCAAATGTCGTGGGATTTTGAATCAGATATAATACCTGTGTTTAATGTAAGTTGTGTTACTGGAGAAGGTTTGGAAGATTTAACAAATTTTATAAAAAATTTGTCATCATATAATGTAAATTCTGCAGATTCAGATTCTGAATCGTGTTTATTTCAAATTGATGAAACTTTCAGGTACTTTTTTCTAAAAATATCATTAGATTATATTTAATAACTATATAAACTATAAATTATTTCATTCCAAATAGAGTAGCAGGTTTGAATGAACCTGTTTTGGGAGGATTACTCGTGAAAGGAGCAATTGCTCTTGGAACTCGATTATTAGTGGGCCCTTTACCAGATGGCGAATTTAGTCCCGTTAAGGTCGTTAGTTTACATCGTAATAAAGCTCCATGTTGTCTAGTAAGAGCATCGCAAAGCGCTAGTTTAACATTAGCACCGTCAACAAATCGAAGTCCCCCTTTACCTCATCTACGACCTGGAATGGTTTTGATATCAGTATGGGATCAGCCTCATGCGACACTTTTTTTTCAGGTATATCCAATATATTAATATCTCATATAAAATGTATGTAAAATTTAAATAAATAATTAACTAACAATTTTACACAATTTTTATAAATATCTTTTAGGCAACTGTATTAATAGTATATCATGCGACTGCAATATTTTCTGGTTTTCAAACAACTGTGCATGTAGGAAATGTAAGACAAACATGTATTATAAAAGGAATAATGGACGCGAAGGACAGAGGTTTACAGACAAACGATACAGCGTCTGTGCTATTTAGGTTTGTTAACCATCCAGAATATTTGCATGTCGGTATGCGATTACTACTACGAGAAGGTCGTACTAAGGGAATTGGCAAAATAACACAAATATTTCCACTAATAGGTCAACAGAACAGTATGCAGTAAATTAAATAAAATTTTATTTATAAAAAAGTATTAGAATGTGCAAAACGTTTACGAAGATATAAAGAAATTTAATTACTTGAATTACTAGATGTTATTACATCATGCGCCTAGCATAAGTATCATAAATTATACATATTTGTTATAAAACAAATAAGGAAAATTCTTTTTGTTTTCGAATTTAATCTTTTAAAGTAGAGACATTTTTTATAAGAAAAACAAATACGAGATATTTTTAACAATTTTTTGTAAATTTTTTTCTGTTTAAAAAAATTGTATATTATTAAGAATAGGATAACAAATGAAGCAGCAAACATGAACAATATTAAATGACAATTATTTGTTTATAACTTAAATACTTTTGCTTTAGGTGCATTAGTTTTGTTGTGAAGAAAAGAAATCTTAAAATTTCTACTATTATTTTATTATTGTGATTATAATCATATCTTCGTTTCATTATTATGGAATTTATTTATGGATTGATTATTTATGAAATGATTTATTTCGTCATGAAATAACATGAAATGAAAGATCATTTTAACTATTTACTGTCATCTTTTTGTGTGTGACGTTCAAATTTAAAATTTTTTCATGAGAGCAATCATTATAATAATGTAATGTTTCTCTATAAATAATTTGATCTTGACTACAAATCTATTTGTTTTGCTAGTATTTAAAAAAATAAGGAATTAAAGAAGTTTATAGTTGATTAAATGCAGAATAAATATTTTTGCGATCGATTATTGTCATAAAATGATAAATATCGAATGCAATATCGTCTTTCATTCATAAAACTTTAAAGAAAAAATTATATTATATATTATAAATCGTACGTATAAATCTGTCAAAGAAAGTTATTGAAGATGGTTGTATTTACGTATATCTTGAAATTAAAAAAAAAATTACAAATGATAAAATTTGTAAAATTATTTGAAAATATTACATATCTTATAAAATATATTAAAATGTGTTATAAATTACGGTACAGCCGTCCAAAAAAAAGATTTTGATTTTTTTTGATTTATGTTAAATTTTAAGTATGATCTTGTATTATATTGTAAAATATTTTAAATAAAACAAAAAAACATCTATATAGAGTGGATTTTTTTATATCGTAGAAAGAAAAGTTTTCGTTAAAAAATATCTATATTCATTGTCTAAAGAAAAAATAGATTTAAAAAAATGATTTGAAATCATTTAAAATATATCCCAAAATATTTTTATCATTGTTTATGCATTAATTAATTTTTATAATTAAAAAAAAACATTTATTCATTGTGACTATATGAAATCATTAAATAAATAAGACAATGTATAAAAATGCAATCCAACTTAATGTTATATTGCACTTAAGAATAAAATATCATATTAAATTCTGAAAAAATACTGTTCCAATAGGAAATGCAGATTTATCATCTATAAAATTATTGCAACTTGCATATTACACGCACAATATCTATAAATGAATAAAAGAAGAATTATATAAATAAATCATGTGCAAGTATTTGTAACTTCTCATCACATTCAAATAAAAGAGTCCTTCAAACAAGCTGATTTTTTATAATCTTTGTACAAAATACAATTATTCGTTCAAAAATGATAATTTCCCGCATGACTAGCAGTAAAAGAGACGCCAGAAAAAGAAACGCGAGCTTTGAGGATAATCTGAGATAAATAAATATAAAAAAAAATGGTATAAAAGAAAGTTAATAATTATTCAATATGATTACTTTCGGTAATCATCTTTATCGTCACTAAAAAATATTCTTGTTTCAGATTACGTGTTCTGGTAGTTCGGAGCGGGAACATTTAACGTGCCCCAAAAGAATACGAGTCTTGTTGGATCATGCCTGATGAAAAAGATGAATGGTCGATTTGCCATGAGCCTCTTCTGATTTCCATCACGCTCTAGCACAATGCTAGTCACGACTGCGGCCTCGGTACCCTTTTCCGTAATATCAATCTCCACTTTTTGAAGAACTTTAGAAGCGAAGAGATGAGGATTCACTAAATTGCCACTATTCCTCAGATCGTCCAATCCAAATGAAGGAAAATTTTTTTGCTTTACATAATTTAAAAAGTCCTGATTGATCGGTCTACTCTGTCTTCTGTTTCTTCTTGTTTGTTTATTTTCCTGGAAGCGATATTTATTTTCTTCAAGATTTACAACTTTTGCATGATCGTTATTTTCTGCGGTTCTCTCTTCCGTTCTATACAAATTTCTATCTTTTTTCTCTTTGACGTCACGAACATTGCGAATTTTTCTAATGGAAAACCCATTTGTCCATTGTTCCACAGAATAGCCACGAATCTTATCCTCGTATACGAAGGAATTTCTTTTCATCATGCGACTATTTACCCTTTTATCTTGAATTGAAATACGAGAAGAAATATCTTCGTAATTCTGTTGACGTGCATTCGTTCTATTACCTCTTGATAATATTTCATTTTGGTTGTTTTTACTCTTGCCTTGAGATATGAGACTCAAATCCGCTAATTCAGGATCAAATAAAGACTTCACGCCTAACGCAGCAAGTATAGGTTCTAAATGCAATGTGCTGCTCAGCTTCATTCGTGGCATACCAATGATACAAGTTTCATTTTTCATATTCTTAACTAAATTTTCAATGATGTCAACTGTTAGTTTATTTTGAAATTCTCGAAGAGCTTTCGCACCTGGATTTTTCGGAAGAAGAATATACATTGAAATCTGCAAAAGATATTGCAGAATGATTTGACAAAATTTCAATGATTTATAAAAATCATATCTTTAATTATAATATTTAGAATTAATTTTATTTATAATTAGATTAATTTTATTTCTTAAATTTAATAAAATATATTAAATGAAAATACATTACAAATATCTGTTACATTTATAAAATACTTACTTCGTGACCTTTATATGGAAGACCAAGAATTTTTATTCCCAATTGTTTATCTTCATAAAAAGGAAAAGTGCCTGCATTGTACATCATGTCTACTAGAATTGATTCATTTGGCTCAACGTAAAATAGTGTCCTAATTAAACAATTAATTGTACAATATTGATACATCGCAATTTTATAATCATAGCAATTATTAAACATCAACAAATAATTATTAAAAAGATAATTATTAAAATGACTTTAGATATATATATTTTATAAATTTTTAATAAAAAGAATATACCTTTTTGTAAATCCTGTTAAGAAGTGTTGATTCCATTCACCATTGAAATAAAGCGCCGACAAAAGAATCATCATAGTGTTTGGACTAGGCACGTCATCCAAAATTTTTGAAATTTTTCCCATCGTCTTCTGATTTACCCATGTATTTATTATATCCATTGCCGCTTTTCCTTTTCTTGTGAAGTCTACGTTGATTAACTCATTTTCATAAACATTCTTGCTCAGTGCTTTGAATTGTGGCAATATTGGAAATCCATCCTAAATTAAAATTATCCATAATATATGTTCGTTTTACTTAAAATAAAAATGTTCAATTTGCTCGTGAAAGAAAATCTTTACCTGGACATATGAGGCTGTAGCAAAATCTACACGTGGTCTAGGAGATCCATCTATCTTGGTGTGGAGTTTCGTCAACAATAGGCCAAACATCTGATGAACAATCTCAGAGTTTTGTGAGATATCAATACCACTTTCGAGTCCAAGTACTCTAGACACTTCGTTGAAAGTTCTGCCAGCAGAACCCGCAAAAACAATCGCTAATGTCACTGTGAGGCTGATCGGCGAGAAAATTATATTATCTTGTTGACCCATTAAAGACATGTCTCGAGTTCTATAAATCTGTCGTTCTACGTCCAAGGCAAATTTTAATACTCCATTAACAATAATATTGTTTACCTGAAATTATTTTTATTTATTATTTTTATGATATACTTTAATTTAATTAATTTCTGATAAAAAGTATTTTAATAATCAATGGTTATATATATATATATCTTCCAATTATTACATCAAATAAATTATAATTAATATATATAATTTATTATACATATAATATAATTATAATAATAAGTTAATATTATATCAAATAAAAATCTTGATTCGATTGATTGAATACAATCTTAATCGTTAATCATCAATTATATTAAATATTGTTCAATATTGATTGATAAATTATCAAATATTTTTGAAAAAATATTAATACATATAAAATATTTTTTAATAATATTTTATATAAATTTTATTTGTAAATTTGCTTGAAAATCATATATTGTAAATAAAAACAATAAAAAAATCAGCAGAGAATAAAATACCTAATATCAATACTTATATTTCTAAATGAATTTTCTTGATTCTTATTGTATAGAATATCATAGATCTGCAATTTTTTGTTGAAATTCAGTTTGTATGTATTTTCAAACATTTCAAAACTTTATATGTATTATATCATATGAAGTAACGGAAAAAAATTCATTATGAATATTATTATTGAAATATTAACTCATTAAATTATGAAATTTTAAGGTCACTATTCAACAAGTTGTTTTTAATGAATAGCTTGCATCACTGATGCTGTCTTTTATCTATCATGAATATCTCAAGAATATTTCACAATGTGTAAACTTAAATATTTTTATTTTTTTTTTGTGACTCATATGATTACATTTATTTCTTAAAACTTCCATCAAAGAAATATTAAAACTTTTCATTGAATATTTTAAAATATCTTTCTACTTACATGATCGCTCCAGCCTTGCAGCGTGTTCTCCATCTGAACAGGATACATTGTTGCATTTTGCAATTCATCGGGTATCATAGATTGTAACGAAATCATTGGTGGTTGTGAATTTGTAGGATTACCTTTAATCGCAGAACTTGCAATATTTGAATACAGATTCGGAGGAATAGTTGATAAATTTCTGAGCCGATTATATTCATCAGGATAGATCAATTGACCAAAAGCACTGGTCATAAGGCTTAAGAATATCAATGTAGTCACCATTGCTGCAAAAAATATGAATATTGATCAATAAATATGTAATTATTTAATTAATGAAAATTAGATCTTATTAATTGCAGCATTATAAAATCATTTTTTTATTTAAGTTTTCAACAATATCATATATATTTAATGATAATTTGACATTGAATCATTAATTCTATTTGTTATTTCACTATTTGATAAAAATTTAATATAACAAGACAAATACTAAGCATTGATAAAAAGATTAAAATAGAAATTTTTATCATTAAAACTAATTAATTCGCAGCTGTTAAGATGAATGACGAAATTCTCTCCAAAGGAAAATTCTAAAATTGTTTGTACTGTATTCCTTTGAAAATCATTTTATCTCGAGCAATTTCATAACTTTATAATTCTATTAATATTTCTAATATAAATAGTTGCAAAAGTCAATATTTCAATTTTTTTTCGCATAACTTTATAATTGTAAGTTTCAATCAATTTAATTTTCTCACAGTATTAACAAAAAGCTGTATAAATATTGTTTTCTGAAAGCAGTTAGAAATTTTATCTTTTTTAAGTCAGAAACATCATAAATGATAAAAACTCAATAGCAGTTTTTGCCAATTACAGAAAGTTAATATGATTCTTAATGAAGCAATGAAGCAATCGAATTTTATGGCTATAACTCAAGCATTAACTTTTAAGTTTTATTGACATTTTTAATCCGATGACAAGAAAAAAAACATGCATTCGATTGATATGAATGAGAAAGAATAACAAAAAAGAATATATATAGCGAAATATAAACTCATAAAATTATTATCAATTGAAAATTATTTTAACTATATATATTTATATTTAATCTTATATTTGATCTTATATTTGATCTTATTTTCATCAATAAAATTATGAGAATATATTTTTATAAAAGAAAAATTAATATAGAAATTCAATTTTTCTCTAATTAAATATTAACAAAATAGAATTGAACAAATTATTCCGAAATGATCGTTTCTTTGTTGAGTGAAGGTAATGGACTGATGTGAATTCTAGATACAAAATCATATGTTTGCCATTTATGGAGGTACCATTATCATTATGTACATTCGTTTCTTGATCATATCGATTTTAAATATAGACTGTTTTTTTTTTTGCAATTATAGAATAACATCAAACAATAATTTAGAATTGAAATAATTAATATTAAAGTTCAATAAATACAATGAGAAAAAATATAATAAAAAATAAAGCTGTTGAATTTCTGCTTGTTTTATATATTTATTTCAATATATTAATTTTTTTTAAAGGAATTTACTAAGATCAGAAAGGAATAATTCATTTTATTCTTCAATTGATATGTAATATTAAAAAATATTTTGTATATATCTAAGAACAATAATATAATGTAATAATAACAATATATTTTAATGTAATATTAACATAAATATTATTGTAATATAATATTAATAATATATTGAGGTTATGGAATCATCTCAATAGAGAAATTATAATTTGTTGTTTATTAATTATTGAACATATTATTAATTTTCGAAAAATCGTATCGTAATCAAGACTTTAATAATTTTTCTTTCTTAACATGAAATACAATCTGAATTAATAAAATAATAAAATAATATGTAACCTGTAAGGATTTTAACCTCTTTTTCTCTTTTCTTCAAAATTAATAATGATATTTATCAAATAACTAATAAAATAAAAAAATATACTTATTTAATTTCTCTTTAATGAATAAAATCTTCAATGAATAAAATAACACATTTATAATCTATAAATTATAAATATTAATAATTCTTTCATGTTATGAAACTTGTTTAATGTTATATTATTTATTTTTTTTCTTGCATGTAAAAATATATGCATGAAAATAAAGATCATGTTATTTGAATATTATATTATTATACTAGTTTATATTAGAATATTATTAATTTTAGTTAAGTCATTTATTTCTATAAAATATATTTAAACTTCAAGAATATATGCATTATTTATCTGTTCCAAGATGTTTGTTGAAAAAATAATGAAGATCAAAAGAAATATTTTATATATACAATTTTATACATTAACTTCAGAAATGGATATATATATATTTATAATAAAAAAAAAATAGTTGATAAAAATAACTGCTTGTTGTAATCTCAATTATCAATTTTTAATTAATCAGGTTCTTATAACGATGTATTGCTGTTTGTTTGTTGATTCATAATTCTACTGCATTATTATTCTATTGCAATGTAACATTTCTATAAATATTTTCTATTTATATATTTTATTTTTTTTTTTATTCTTTTCACGATATTATTTCTATACTTGAATTTTAATTCTACAATGATAGATCACTAATCGAAATTATCCGTTTTTAAATAGGAAATAAATTTTTCTTAAAAAATATTATTTTCCAAAAATAATAAAGAATATCTCTTTTTTTTTTGAGAAAATATTTTATTGAAAAATATATTTTTAATATTATTAAAAGTAGTATTATAGTAAAAGTTATTCTTTCAAAATTATTGATTACGTACAATTTATCATAAAAATTATTGAATACATAGAATAAGAAATCTCATCCAATGAGAGTTCATTCTGTTACTTATATTCCCCTTGTCTATATATACATATATATATAATTTTAATCGAAAAATTCCAAGATGTAAGAATAATTGTGATTAACAACGTCTATAACTATTCTCATTATTATACGAAATATAAAAACAATGATGCTAACATCGAGTCAAGCTCATTGTCTTAAAAACAATTCTTTCATTGTTCCTCAACCATGAATAAGAACATTAACACATTCCTGTTTCACACGAGCAGTTAAGTATCAACAATGTATTCGATGATTTTATTACATTAAAATACTTTTCTACGTTCGCATAATAATCTCGTGGAAGTGTGTCGTGTATCGATCGGGAAAACCCATTGATATTATCCGAAGTCATGATGAATGAGAATGCACACGTGACATCATGTTAGATTGTTTATAAGAATATAAAACGTATAACAAATGCAATGCGTCGTAAAATTGAATTAACCAGTAAATCTTTATAAACCGGAAGAAATCATTTAAAAGCGGAAAATATTTAAAACATCAAAGATAAAATAATCAAAGATGAATCTACTTGATTGCTAGTAAAACTTAACTTAAAGAGAGATGTTGAGAATTCAACTATAAATAATTTCTCATACAATTGGGTTTCTAAAACCCAACAATTTGTTAAGTTTCAAACATTTGTAAATCATTTTTTTCCTTTAAATAAGATTAATTGAAAAAGAACAATATAGTCATGCTAATTTATTTTTTCATTTTCAAATCGTCTATAATTTGAAGCGATGTAAAATTATATGTGTATACGTAAAATAAATTGATAAAATATTTGATATTTTAAAAACTTATCTTTTTAATTAAAGTTATGTCCAACTAACTTTCTTAAAATTCTACAGATTATAACTTCGATTCAAATCAATTCTTATATAGCTAATGTTGAAAAAGAAATGAAAATAAAAAGAATTATATAACGTTAGTATTTTATTATCATATAAATCTTTTATATTTCATTTTTGTTGAAATAATCAAGCAATCATCAAAGAATTTTAAAATTTCTAAATCTATTTTAAACATCTCAACTTTCGTTATCAAGTATCTACATTCCTGGAAACAGGTATTTATCTTAAAATTGAATCTGCATCTGCATGTAATTCTAATCGATCTTGAAGGATCGATATTCACAATAATGATTTCTCTTTTTATTATACACAAATGGCCACGAAGCTAATTCTACAATAAATTCCCAACTAAACAACTGTAGAATCTTGACAAGAATCATGAGCTCGATGACTCTCAATAATTATTCAATTCTCGTTATGCATATTAGAAAGGCTATTATATAATATATATAAATGTATTGAAAAGTATTAATAGTATCGAACAGGATTCAAGATTATCTTTGATTGAATAATGATTAGTTTAATCATTACGATTGATTAATTATTATAATTTTTATATCTTTTTTTATTCTATATGTATGCCATATTATGCCATATATTTTCTGAATAAAATTATTTAATTGAGTTTGAATTTTTTAATTGAAAGAATAAATGAATATATAATCGATACTTTTGATAAATAATAATTTTATTGTTTATCTTTTCAAAGATTATTATAATCACAAATGAATTGAATTCAATTACTTAAAAGTTCAATTAACCGACTTCACTTTATGAAAATTTCTGTTTAATAATGATATGATTAATTTATTGATATCATTAGAATTGAATTTATATGTTATTTATATTAGAATTAACACATGATAACAATAAATGTTTTTTTTCTTGATTAATTTTACTCAAACTAATTTAAATAAAAATTCATGAAAGTTTAAGATTTAATAAAACTCATAAATATTTAATATTTAAAATCACAACTCTTTCAAAGTTTAATAATTCTAATGTTATATCATTTAATATCACAATAAACTAGAATAAGATTTCTACCACAAATTACATTTTGTTTCTTATATTAATGTATAATATATTATGTAAGCAAGAATTATCTTAAGGTTAAATCTTGTTTAAAGCAAATACGTCAGTTATTTGTATAATTGATTTGAATATAAAACTTATCAAGTTTCCATATATATATGGTAGGCATCTCAAAAATAAACACAGACATAACATATATATATTATTGGTAATTTCTAAGAAACCACATCATTAAATCATTAAAATCAAAAATTAATTAATTAGTTTATTAATTATAAGTAAGTCAATTATCAAATAACAATGGAATTTTCTAGCTTCTTTAAAATATGCATGCAATATGATTCTTATGATAGTAATATAGTTATATCATAATATCTTCTAGTATATCATAAGTTTAAACAAAAATTAATCTTTAATGTTCATATATCTATGTAATTTTGTAATTCTAAAGTAAATTAAATTTTTAAAAAAATAATTTAAAAATATTCGAATAAAAATTGTTGAAACTGAACATAGTTATCAAACTTTGATTAACAGAAAATTTTAATAAATAAAAAAAAAAAAGAAAAAATAACACGTTGAAAATTTTTTATTCCATTATAACCGTCAATTGACTATCATTCTTCGACGCCATTAGATAATTCTGAGAATAATCGTTATTGTTTAAGAATAATAAACAGTTAAATTACTCTTACATATCTTTGTTACGAGTTTAGTGCCCTTGAATGAGCTTATGTTTCAAACGAATTTGTCATCAGTTAATTCATCATAGAAAACTATTGTAACACAGTTCTATAAAATTCTATAAATATTAAAATTTTATAAATTTTGGAAAACTTTTTGAAATTTGCTTAATATAGATGACGGATTCAAAGCATCATTCGAAACGATTTACGATTGTCACTGTTGTTTTTCCGTTTATTAAGTTATTGTCATATTTCTTGATGATATGATTTCTCAAATAATTACATGAATTGGCGCAAATTTTTAATCTATTAATTGTAATGATTCTTATTTAAGGATTATAAGAAAGAAAGAAATTTTATGGCCTTGATCTTTAAATAGAAATTTTTTAAGTAAAAGAATATGATTGAACAAAAAAATATCAGACTACCTGTTCGTATTTAAGAACAATTTTTACATATCACGAATGTGCAAATTTTCTTGAAAATTTGGAAAGAAAGTTCGTAAATATCATTTTACGTGTTTTATATTATATCAGATTTTGAATTTCAGATTGAGAATTTGTTTATAAGTACTAGAAAAATAAAATTATCCTTTGATCTTAAAGAAAAGCAAGATATAATAAAGACTTTTATGAAGAATTATCAAAGAATTATCAAAGAATTATAGCTTACATAATTTTATTACATTTTTGTGCATATGAAATATCGATTTTTAAATTTGATGAACCAATATCATCGATAAAATTCTTGACGTCAATAATTATCAATTATGGTGCTAACAATATTTATGATAAAGATATTTATATTTTGATTATGAATAATCGAAATATTCGTATAATTTTTTAATATAACATTAAATTCGGATAAAATATTATGTAAATAGCTAAAAACTTTTACAATTTTAATGAACAAATTATTTGAAAAAAATGGAAATAAAAAGATCTTAATTTCAGCATTGAAAGGAAACTAAATTAATTAATAAAATAATAATAAATTAATCAATTTAGTTTTTGTTTTGATCTAACTAAAAAATCGATTTAGATTTAAAACTTTGAAAAAATATATCTAATATTCATAATAAAATGACTCCTTTACAAATCTCAAGTTTCAAACTTGTCATATCATATTCTTTTTAAAATTTTAATTTGAAAAGAACTCTTTTTTCAAATATCTCTCTTCTAAACAAAATCTTTGTCCTCTTACATACCTTTTCAAATGTTTTCTAAATCCGTTTGCTCCTTTTAAATGTCACGTCCTTTTCTTCTTCGTACTCGATTACCGGTTGCCTTCACCGATTTACATACAATTAAATCGTCAACATGGATTCTTTTCACAATTTCGTCAGTATTATTAATATACATATATACATATAACGGAATTGAATAAAATATTTAAGAGAATAAAATGTCGTGCCGTTTGATAAAATTATAGAGATCTCGTCCTCGCCGGCGAGAAGAATCGTGATATGAGACGTGCGGATCGATCAACAGCTACGACACGACTGATTGAATCGGCCTTCGTTATATTCCGTTGTATTTACTAGGTTCGTCTCTGTCGCCTTCTCATGCTCTACTCGTCCAGGTTGTGGTACATATGTTTATAAATACAGTTTCGTAGATTATAGTGAGGTAAAGTAAAACCATCAGGTATCATTTTAGAGACATGTGTTGATCTAAATTATCTATATATAAATATCTATTATAATAACGATTATCAATAATCAGGAGATTCGAATTAAATTTATCTTTTGGGATTTCCCAAATTTCTTCGTGATTTAAGAATATTTTGTTTTGATGGAAATAATAAATGGAGAATATGATTTTGAAATTACTGATTTATTTGATCTTTCCTGAAAGTGAAAAATTATTGAGAAATTATCAAATACGAATGTTTAAATTTGAATTAATATTTTGATATGAATAATTACTACGACGTTAAAAAAATTGAAGAAACGAAATTGATAATATATATAGAAAAAAAATTAAATATTTTACCATAAATAAGTATAAAAATAATTGTTCTATTCAAAATAAAATCATCCTTTATAGTAAAGGGTAAAAGTTAAAAAGGTATAATTAAATAAAAATAAAAATTGATATCTTGCATTTTATGAAAAACTGAATTAATTATAAGAATTAAATTAAAATATAATATAAATAGTTATATTTATAATTATATATATTTTAAAAATTAAAAATATAATTTTATATATATAACTTTTGTGCAGGAAATCACGCAATTGTGATGATTGTATTTTCTATATAATTTCTAAGATAAGAAAGAATCATATAATAATATTTATTTTTTTGTTTTATTATTTTTTTCTATATATTTTCTATATATATTTTCTATATATAATAATAAGAATATCTATTATTATTTTTTTATCGTGATATTTTAATAATATTCTTTTTATATTTTCTTGCATATAATATATATATTATAATATATTAATATAATATAATAAATTCTTGCAATACCTATCATTTTATTATGAACCAAATATTTAAAAAAAATACATATTCTTTTTTTTTTAATAAAAATATCATGCAGTAAAAGTCAACTGATTAATCTTTTCATTTTTAATATATCATTATTAATGTATACTATCAACTAAAATTCCAGAAATAGATTCCAAGAAAATTATTCATTCATAGATACTTATATCTTTTATTGAATGATGATATCTTATTTGTTCAATTGACATATAGTAAAATTTACGGTAATATGATTGCACATTTTAAGGATTTATTTCTCGAAAAAATGATTCGACAATATTGAAAAAAAAAATAAATTCAATTCCAATAGTAAAGCTTCTTCTAAATGATCCATTCTTGGGAAAATCCATATACGTATCTTATTCGTATCTTATCTTATAGTATTTATAATATACATACATTATAAATTACATGCCATGAGGAAATTCAAACAATCGATGATTATGTGGATCACCGGAACCATGGGATTCGTATCTTCAATGAGCATATCAATTTCATCATGCAAATTACTTGCTTCCATCTATACCCCTCAAATTGAGATATAGCAATCGATAAAACTAATAAGGATCATGGACTTTGAGGGAAAAATCCTGCAGATAATTAATTGCATGTTATAAATAGAAAATCGATTATTGATTTAATCATTTTCTCTTGTAACTATTTTTATGCATACATTTATTTAATCATATAAAGATCTTTTTATAAATCCATTTTCTCGAATCGAAAACATTGCTGTACACTACATGAATAAATTTTCGTAAAAATCATATGTTATTTATTATTTATTTTAATCATTGCCCGATTCTTATTCATTTACTATTAATCTCTTGTTCATTTACTCATTCATTTGTTAATTCGTCAAAAATTAAATATTTCTTCAATTGTTATTTCTAATTAATATAATTATTTATATGATTAATATGCAATTATTTTATATTTGTTGTATATAAATAATAAATTAAATTTGTTTATTACATTTTATATCATATTTTATTATATCTTATTCTAAATAACTTTTGTCTAATATTGTCGTGATAATATGAAATTTTACGAAAGATTCCAATGGAATTTTTTCGAAAGTGACGAATTCAAATTGATAAAAATTAGGTTCCTTTTGGATGAAGAAGTTTAAACTGAAATACTGAAAAATAAAATTTTAATAAATTGTTTTAATAGAAATTTTGATGATACAAAGAAAATATAATATAGAAATATTATATATATATATAATAAAGAAACGCAAAAATATAATACAGAAACGCATTTTGTAAATTGTATATAATATAACAAATTGTATTATAATAAAAAACATTTCATATATATAAATGTATTCAAAAATAGAATTTCATTTATATTTGATTTTAAAAAAATGTTTGTTGAAAATACCAAGTTTTGTTATTGAAAGTTATGATTAATTATTGGTGTTATAATTAAAATATTTCATTATTAACACAAGATTTAATTCCAATAGTATCATTACTCAAGACAAAATAAATTTTTAATATAATTCTTTGTTTTTGAATTGTATATTAATTCAACCAATTATTAATTGATATTTATTTAAGTTATTGGAAATTTTTATTTATAAAATTGATATTTATTATATATTAAATTTATGATAATATACATTTATAGCAATATAGTAAAAATATTGTTAAGAGAACAAAATATTTTCATTATTTCATGATTCGATTTATTGATTGCATATTATAGGGTTAAAAAAATTGTGTTGATAATATATATAAACAAAAGAATCCTGTTCAAAGGATTTTTATGTTTCTTTAATATGAAAATAAATTATCAAAATAAAACGTTTTTTGTGCTTAGTTTAAATATGCATAACTAGTAATCTACAATATATTTTAAAGTTAAAAGATTTTATAAAAGAATTTAAATAATTTTAATTGCATTTATTTCTTAAATATAATTATTTATGTTAATTTTATGTTATGTAAATTTTATGAAATACAAAACAAATACGAATAAAAGAATTTAATAACAAATTTTTTATGAAATATAATTTCATAAATATTAATTTTTCTTTTTTTTGTTTTCATCCAAAAAGAAATATGTTTGATAACCTTTCTATTAAGATTGTCCTCGTTCCAAAAACAGACATTTAACTTATTCAGACATTATCTCCACTATTCATATTATTTGTAACTTATAATGGAGATTTTATTCTATATATATACAATAAAATATAAAAAAATATGCAGTAACGATTAATTTTACATATATATTTTCACACGCACATATATACACACACATACACATGTATATAACAATAAGAAAATTTCTTTTAATAAAAAATTTTTTATCTTAAATATTAGTTATATTATCAAATGTTGATAATATAACTGAATTGAATTATTATAATTAATAAAATATTATTTTAGATATAATTTCTAAAAATTATAATTTATTTTAAATATAAAAATAACATCAATAATCATTTTATATATATTATATTATATAGATATATTATAATATATTATTATATACTTATATATATTGTTTGTTGATTATATTCTTTTTAAACACAATGTCCTGTGAAAAAAAAATTTGTATATAATTTAAATATAATAAAAATATAATCGTTTCCATAGCTTTCTATTTTAATTTGCTCCTTTTTTCTTTTCATGAATATTTGCCTTTATATATGATAAATATATAACACTTGAACTTATTGATTTATCCTATCGTGCTACGATTGGACGACGTGTCAGCATCCGATTCTACATAAGAACGAACCAATGAACGATCTTCCTTTTTATGTGTGTGTGTAACTTACTAGTAGGAGCGGAAGCATTGCCCAGTTGCTCGTTTCCGTCTTCCCAGTGCCTGTCAGCCATTACTGCTCTGCTCGCCGGGTCTTGCAGGGTAAGTCTGTCCGAATATCTTTTTTTATACAAATTTTTTTGTCATTTAATACAAGATTATTATAGAATTAATATGTTCATTTATATACTCATTTTATTAAATTTCTTATATAATTATTTTTGATCATAGGTGTAACTGGTACAACTGACATACTTTCCGAAAAATCGAAGATCGTTCCTACGGAACTGGTAGTGTGTCAGCAGATTCTTCCGAACTTTTGCCGAGATGTATAACAATAGTTATTCCAATCATACCAGGTAGAATATTTTAATTGAAATTATAACTTTTAAATATTACATATATCAGTACCATACGTTATGAAATGTTAAAACTGGAGAAGTCTTTTTTTTTTTTTAATATCGTGATCTCCACCATTTTGTTCATGGATTCTCTTATTCGTCATTTTTATTATTTTGTGTTGAATTAATCACAATTTATGGAAGATCATTGTTTTAGAATATGATAAAAAAAAATTTACTTGTAACAAAAATGTATACTTTTGAATAAGACCAAATGAGTCATAAAAAAAGTAAAATGGCGGTGTCATTATCTAATGGAAAGCTACTGACAACCATAAGATGAAAGTACATATACAAAATTTTTTTTAAATCTTTATAATTTAATGTTAATTTATTATTTTTATAACAATCATTATTTTATTAATCTCTTTTTTTGCTATTTTTTTTTCACATGATATTATATGCAATATGATATATTAAAAATCTTTTTTTTTAATATACAATATACTTGAAATATAAATAATATATAATAATTATATTATTATAATAATAAAATAATTTAATATTATTTAATATTCTATATTAATGACTTAAATTTAATATTAAATTTTAAACATGAAGAATCAGTATCATTTTATGAGAATTAGTTACAGACCCAGGGGAAGTAGAGATTCTACCAATCGTAATGGAGGGGGAACATATTGGAATAGACAACAACAGACAAACAAAGAGAAGTCAATTAAGAAGCAAGTCCAAAGAAGAACTCCTGGAGATTCATTGAAAAAACCTAGCTGGGATCTCTCTAAGTTACCAGTGATTACAAAAAATTTATATATTCCACATATCAATATTTTAAAACGGTCCAGTGATGAAGTTAATAAGTATCACATTGGTAAAGAAATCACTGTGAAAGGAAACAATACTCCTTCTCCAATTCAAGCATTTGAAGAAAGTAACTTCCCAGATTATGTAATGGAAGAGATAAGAAAGCAGGGTTTTGCTGAACCAACAGCAATCCAAGCACAAGGCTGGCCAATAGCACTCAGTGGTCGTGATTTGGTTGGAATTGCTCAAACAGGATCTGGAAAAACTTTAGCTGTACGTATTTTTATATATTTTTTTTCATATATACATTTCATAAATAGTAATCATGTTATATTTTTATTTCTTTAAATTTTAATTGCATTGTTAACTATTATTATTAAATGTAAAAAAAATAAAATTTGAAATATTTATAACAATTTTATAATAAAGAAATTAAGAGTTTAATATTAAAAATTTAATTAATTCTAATTCTCTATTATTATATCATGAATATGTTAATAATATTGATCATCATATTGATTAAATATAAAAGAAATCATTTAGATTTCATGTTCAAATTAAATCAGATTTCAGTAATTTTTTGTACATATTTTTGAAAATATCTCTTTTGTAAATAGAATTTTATGTTTTTAAGATTTCAAAATATATATTTTGTCTTCAAATCATTGATAATTTATCAAATAAATATTTTTAGATAATTAAATTTAAGAATTTTATTATTGATATTTTTCAGTATATATTACCAGCAACTGTACACATTAATCATCAACCACGTTTGAGCCGAGGAGATGGTCCCATCGTTTTGATACTCGCCCCAACAAGAGAATTAGCCCAACAAATTCAATCTGTTGCTAGAGATTTTGGTTCTTCCTCCTGTATTCGTAATACTTGCATCTTTGGTGGTTCTCCAAAAGGGCCTCAAGCTCGTGATTTAGAACGCGGTGTTGAAATTTGTATTGCAACTCCTGGTAGATTAATCGATTTTCTCGAGAAAGGAACTACGAATTTGCGCAGATGTACATACCTAGTCTTAGACGAGGCAGACAGAATGTTAGATATGGGATTCGAGCCGCAAATCCGAAAAATCATAGAGCAAATTAGACCTGATAGGCAGGTATTGATGTGGTCTGCAACATGGCCGAAAGAAGTACAAGCTTTGGCTGAAGATTTCCTCTCAGATTATATTCAAATTAACATCGGTTCTTTGACATTGGCCGCTAATCACAATATCCGTCAAATCGTAGAGATTTGTCAAGAGCATGAAAAAGAAATGAAACTCTCAAATCTTTTAAGAGAGATCGGCAAAGATCGAGGAAGCAAGATGATAATTTTCGTTGAAACGAAAAAGAAAGTGGACGATATTACCAAAGCTATTAAACGAGAAGGCTGGCCTGCTATCTCTATTCACGGTGACAAATCACAGCCTGAGAGAGATTATGTATTATCTGAGTTTAGAAATGGAAAAACAATGATTCTTGTTGCTACCGATGTTGCTGCTCGTGGCTTGGACGTAGAAGATGTGAAATATGTAATTAACTTCGATTATCCGAATAGTTCTGAGGATTATATTCATAGAATAGGAAGAACTGGACGTTGCCAAAGCGCGGGTACTGCTTATGCTTATTTTACGCCTAATAATGCTAGACAAGCAAAAGAACTAATTTCTGTTTTGGAAGAAGCTGGTCAAGCAATAAATCCACAATTGGCCGATTTAGCAAATTCGATAAAACCTGCATACGGAAAGGGTCGCCAGCGTTGGAGTCATTCTCGTTCTAATAAAGATAATAGTTCCACTGGAAGTCCAAGAAATAACAGCAGCCCAATTTCGAATAATTGGCAAAATCAGCACGTTCAGAGTACTCAGCACAGTAATGGCAGCAGTCAAGAAAGGACTGTTGTACGCCAGCAAAATGGATATCAGGCCAGTCGACAGAATAGTTTCCAATCTAATTATCAGCCGCAGCAACATCAACAACAACCGCAACAGCAGCAACACCAACACCAACACCAACAACATCAACAGCAGCAGCAACAGCAGCAACAACAACATCAGCGGCAACCGAATACTTATACCAATGGCTGTCAAACTACCAATAGCTATTCAGCTAGTTATCAAAATGCAAATATTCCTAGATATCATGGAAGAACAGGAGGTTTCCAAGGAAATCGTTATCACAATCGTCAGAGTGCTTACAATACCAATCAGACACCTGGAGGACAAAGCGTATATTCTATGCCACCTCCATTTATGATGCCATCTGCGGGCGGACACACAGCTGATTCCTCCATGCAAAGCCTCGTTAACAACAAGTTTTTCCAAACGAATCGTCCACCACCAAATACTGGCGCTTGCGCGTATCAATCGATGGGATATAGTCAGTTCCAAGCTGTGCCACCATATAGTTATCCTTATCCGCCCACACCAGTGCAGCAGTGACGCTTTTCAAGGTATAAATCGGTAAGAGTGCAGGCTAAGTAAGAAAATCAATTTTTCCTCTTTATATCAGGCCCATTATATATTTACGGTTTGTGTAGACAATTGGGTCTCTTTTGAATATATAAGTAACATAATGTTTCCTCTTTTCATTGTCATTTATTATTTTTTCTGGAATGATGCCGATTCAACACATTCGACGAAGCAAAATTATTTTATGTGTTTATTCGAAGAAAGCAAGAGAAAGCAAGAAACAAAACAATCGATAATTTATTGGTTTTATTGAAGGTTATAAATATTTAAATTGGAACGTTTTCAAACATTCGAGAGAAAAAAAAATGAAAAAAAATTAATTATTACTTATTAATAATCCATAGGCACATTCCAGTCAAGTTTTTTGAAGTAGTAGTAGTAATTATTTAGCAATGATATATTGATATAATCATTACTGGATGTAGAATATGACCAACAAATGTAGGCTTATAACTAAGTGGTCATATCCTAAAAAGTAATTAATCTTCTTGAGATAAAACTATGTAAACGTCATTTAATGCTTTCCCGAAATGCACGAAACGTATAGAAGGGGGGTGGTTAACGTTTTCATATTTGATAATTTATTTATATTTTGCATATATATATATACGTATGTACAGGCAACGCTCTTCAAAATGTAAGGCCTTTTGCATAAAAATTAAGCCGTACACCCGTTTTTACAAAGCGCACGACGAATATAAAAAAAAAAAAAATATCGTGTCCTCTGTTTTGTAACGAGACTGGGTGTTGTGTCTCTTTGATAATAGGGGAAAGGTATATCTCATCAAAATTAAAGAACTTTGATGGAGGATAAATCCAGCATAATTATATAGCGTACAAAAGTGAGTACTTCGAAACTATCCTGGGCCGGTATCTTTGGAATAAATTCAAAGCATAAAACCGGTTAACGGGGAAGAGAAAGGAAAACTTAAATTAAGCATGTAGTCACAATGGCTGTGTACCTCGGCGCAAAGTTTGATACCTTATTTTTATAATATATATCGAAAGTAATTTGTTGTTAAACCAACGAATGATTATACGAAGATAAAAAAAAGTAAGAGAAACATTGTTGTTTGATGTTTATGCAATTGGCCACTGAGTGGTCTTGTCCTTGCGCGACCGTGTACAATGTATATAGGTGCACGCGCAGGCTGGCCGCAAATCGAATAAAATTTAGTTGTACCTGTTTTTTAGTTCGCGCTCATCGAAATTCTTGCTATTTTTTAGGGAACGATTCAGACTATCCGAAAGGCATTTTTCTATTGAAACGTTTAAGAAAAAAAATATTGCGCTGCCGTGAACGTATTGAACGCGTGATGAAAGAGTTTTTAACTTATGGTATTGATCCATGTGTTGTATATATCGTTATGGCCATTCCGAAGTGGCTTCCAAGGAAATTTCACGTGATAAATGATACGAAAAATAATGAATAATGAATTCATGCCGCGAATCAGGCACGAAAACCGTTTATCGACAGCGCATAGCGATTTTTTGCGGGCCTCCAGATTACACTGTACACGTCACTACTCGAATAAACGAACAGCAAAGAAAAGAGCCAACAGAGAAGAATGCAAGACTCGAATATACACTCGAGCAAGGACTCGTTTGCGAACGACATTATTGTGATAATTATACGTAACGCTTTCGTGAAACGGTCTCACAGTTCGTTACTTAATTACGCACAGTAGAAAATGTTGTGAAGCAGTACGTGTGCACAATAACATTTCCGGTTGATTAACGAAACCGCGTCACACGCATTTCAAGCGGATTTTGCTCGATAAGAGAGGAAAAAACTCTATCGATTCGTTTCTAGGTTTCCACATGGTAGTCTTTATATTCTTCTTTTGCTGAGCCGATAGATTGGATATTTCAAAATATATGGTGGGGTCGCGAACAGAAGTTAGGCATTCGCGGTATATTGTTGTCTTTGTCCTTTTCAACATTGTGAATGCTTATACGCTCCTACTGCGTTGATCTGACTGCAACATGTTGCGTTGTCAGAATGAATAGTGATATAAATAATAGGAAGCGTATGCTACGAGTATTGGACACTTCTGAATACTCATACATTGCGTACGCCCTCTATTAAATCATCTTATTGATTTTTGAAACATTCGTCTAATCTATGTCTTTTCATCGTTGTTGATCAGTAATTTTTCTTTAGTACACTAATTATCTATTTCTTCTGAATTCTTTTTAGTACGTAGTCTACTATATTTTGGCAAATAGCAGACTATAGTAGTGCAATTCTACATTTTTCAATTCCATCCATTGCAAGTAATGCATCCTTCAAGCATTTATCAATTGAGGCTTATAAATACGTATATTGCTGTCATAGAAATTTGACAGATAAATTAAAGTTTCTTCTAAATGTTGTTTCAGATAGCCTCAGAATTATAATAACCCTTTATGCTGTACTGCATTTGTTCCCATATATTAAAATGAAAATTAATGACCGTCGAATATGCATATCTTTTCTAAAACCAAATCTTTAAACGTATGGTCATAGAATTTTCTTAGAAACTTGTTATAGTTAACTCAAAGTTTAAAAAGAAGAACGCAGAGCAAATATTGAACGTTAGACAGCAAAGGGTTAATATTTTACATTTCATTTAACAGAACATATAACAGACATCATGCTTTTAAGTTTTTCCTAAATAAAATAATTGTTCTAACGAAGTGCAACTTGCATTTTGAAAATTGATAGTGGGTGTACGCGTAGTTCTGTGATATGTAAGATGTAGCATATTTATAGATCTACCTATCGTGCATCATGATTAAAATAAGGAACGTATCTTATCAGTTTTATACGTGGTATACAAATCATATGATCCTAAATGACGTGTACTGCGAGAGCTGTCTACTTTAAGGAAAGAAAAACAAAAGTTGTTGCGAAAAAAGCGAAAGATCAGTATTCC